CTCCCCACAGCTGCCCCATGAACCGAAGCAGCATGTATTCCCCATCGTCTCGGAGACAACAAGAGTGCAAGACTAACTTAGCTTACCTTAGCCAAAAAGAAGAGCAGAAATAATGAAAAATACACAAGGAGTAGAAAAAAACAACAACTTCTGTTCTCCACCGCACAAATAGTCAGTAATCTGAATCGCGTACCACAGTGAGAATTAACAATGTTCCAAAAATAGTCCACTTCTATTAGTCAAGGTCCATACTCGGACCAAGCTGAGTACGTAGAGGCTACGCTGAGTCATTCAACAAGTTATCCACAAACTTTTTGGCCTCTACCAGAGATTCGAAAGAAAGCTCGCGACCGTTGTAATGCACCATCAATTTTGATGGAAAACGCAGGGACCTTTTCAACCCAACCTCCCGCAGAGCTTTCGTGATCGAACTAAACGCACGTCGCCGCGCTGTCACCTCCGGTGCATAATCAGGGAAGATATGAATTTCCTTTATATTCCAGAGGAAACTTATCCCGGCTCAGACGGAGGATTAAGTCTTTATCCCGATCATTGTGGATCCGTGCAATAATGGTGCGAGGTCTCTGGCCTTCAGACAGCTTGGGTAACAGCGCCCGATGAGCTCGGTCAATCTTCACAGGTTTGGGGAAGTTGTCTCGGCCGAAAAGTTCGGTAATCAAGTCAGAAATGAACACAGAAGGGCGCCCCCGCTCCTCACCTTCACTTATTCCCACAAATTTGAGATTCAGCCTTCGAGAGCGTCCTTCCAAGTCATTCAGTTTAGCCCAGAGAGATTTGTTTTCTGCACGCAAGTCTTCACACACCTTTTTAACCTCTCCGAGGCGTAAATCAGTACCGTTCAGGGCACCTTCTATCTCCACCATTTTTTGTTTAACGCCGGCCTGTTCTGACTGCAGGTTAACCAGCGTAGCATCCAACGTATCCAAGCGAGCACTTAATGCTGTCACCTTGTCCTCTATGAGCTTTTTCAAATCATCCCCTTGGGCACCCATTGCGGCAAGTATCGCATTCACATTTCCCTGTGAGATAGAATCACCTGGATTGGCGTCCTCCTTAGTTGCAACAGTTTTTGAAGATTTCTTAGACGCCATTTTTCTGACAGAACGAGTCAGCGAAATAACGAAAATTGCCCTCAGTGCACTTAAATCTCACTAAATATTCAAAACAACTGATTAAAGTTAACTCTCAATAAGTTATTATCAACTGTGAAGTGGATTGAAGGTACTTTAATTACAAAAATATTCCAAATTTAATGTCAGCGGAGAGGAGACTCTCCGAGTCAGCACACTCAAAAGAGTTGCCAGTAATCGGGTTTATTGGCATGACTTTGAAGGCTGATTTAATATCGATTTTGGCTAACCATGCTCCACAACCGGCAGATTTAATTAGCAGAATTCACCCTTCGCCGGGAGTTTGATTGACAGGTGATCTGACCAGTTATTATAATGCTGTATCTGCCATTTTGTCAGACAAAGAAATCAGACAGGAGAGTATATTAACGTTGGCGGACTTGAACTTGAGAAATGGTGTGCATTGACGTCTTTCCGTGGTTGAAACAAGATACCTTCTGATGTTCATTCATGTTTATTTTGTGCTACAACACGTAAAGAGGAAGAGATGATCGGTTAGCGTGCTGCTTGAACTGAGGCACACAGTGATCTGTCACGCCACATTAAACAACCACAAAATGGTATTTATTGTTTGAATTTCTTAAAAAAATAACAAAATGTGATTTTATTATATATTTTTTTTGAGATCTTCATTGTTTTTTGCCGAAGATTTGTACATGGGGCAGACGGGGTGGGCATGAGCACCGCCACAAAAATTACAAACATGCAAAAAATTACATCTTTGCCTGAAACAATGAAATTCATTGAAATGATTACAAACTTGGCAAATTGGAATGGATGATAAACATCCCTTTTGATTTACAGAGATTGAGCATTCGAACCCAGACTGTGGCACGTATGAGGTGGATTTGACAGTTTCAGGGGTTGGCTGGGGGTTTGGGGAATTTTGGATAATGAGTGGGCAAGAGTGAGATGATGGATAGGTAATCATTCAGTTCCTTGCGTCTATTTGGGAAGACTGAACAGATTACATCTGTATATTTTCCGAAGGCTAAAACGAATTCTGCAAGGGAAATAATGCAATTGGAGCTAGATGCTGAATCTTTGAGGGTAAGGGAAATTGTGTCACAGTCCATGGATCAATGGCAGTCTTTTTGAGGGATGGGAGATAGAAGAGAAGCCATGTCCACGTCCATACCTGAGAGGATTTGAGTGTGAAGCGGGTTAGAGATGGATGGAGGCTCCGGGGAAAGAAAATGGAAAGAAACCGAAACTGGTGTGATATGGCAAATCCACAGTGGGTAGAAGGTGTGGCTAGACGGTGGAACAGTGTGTCCAAAGGCAGAAGTGGATGCTTGAGAGACGTGGGTTTGTTGGGCTGAGTTGGACTGTGAAGACAGAGGGCTTAGGGCTGCAGCCACGAGACTTACACTAGTAGTAAGGGGGGTAGGGATGATGGCAGCGGAGACAGGCAGCAGGGGGAATGGCAGCTATAGGGGAGCCGCTGGAAGAGCTGGAGGCTGACACTGCGTCCTGGCTGAAGGAGGCACACCTAGCTCTCTTGGATGGGTGACTGGAGGCCCCTTGAAGGGGAGTGGAAGGAGCAGTGGATGGAATTGGACTAGATGGTGAATTGAGGTAAAGATCATACAGATGGTCTGTCTTTAAGAAAAATGAATGTTTGTGGTCTAACCTTCGTTTAGAACTTCATTGATTGAAAATATCTTATACTCAGAATAATCAATATCTACATTAAAGATATTGCAACCAATATTATAATACAGGTTTAAATTATCAACACAGTTTAAACCTAATAATTACTTGAAATTGAAGTTAGATTAAATAGTAGTCAGAATTAAAGTAGATGATGTAGTAGATGAAAAACATACATGCACAATACTTTTGCCCACACCACTGAATTTGGTCTTTGGACCAGTGGGTGGTCCTTAGAATCGTCTGTAATATCCAACAGGCGTTGTTGCCCGCACTGCATGTATATGTATTATATGTGCATCTCATGTCAACAAAAACTGCTATTTACAAAAACAATCAAACTGAACTGTATACTCTAAGAAAAGTGTGTTAATAAAAAGGAATTTTCCACATTTATTTTTTACAGGAGTTTTACCCATATTTTGAATTACGCATTGCATTGTGTAGTGATTTAGGGTTGAAGGAAATGTCTGTAAACTTAACAGAAAATACTGTTAATTTTCTGCCAGGACATTATCCTTATTTATATGTATATTTTCTACAGTTTTTTTCTTACAGTGCAGAGATCTGCTGTATCACTGTAACTGTAAACATATTGTGGACCAAGTTGTCCTTCTCTTTTTTAAAGCTCATTTTGGTGCAGCAGCTCAACTGGTTATTTATACATAATGCTAAAATTTAACTGTTCCCCCATGCATCATTTCCAGTGTAAGTGTGCGAGCACAGATCTTCTGCAGACTCACTGTTCTGGACGATGTCCTGCATCTTCTTCCAGACTCTGAACGGCAGGTTGCCCAAGTAACGCGGCACATCAATCAAAGCTCCAGAAGGTGTCTGTGGATCCGGCTGTGATGAGATCTGGACTCTGGAAGAACATTCAGGATCAGAACTGCAGTGGCTTTGGATCAGAAGCAGAGAGAGCAGAGAACGCTCTGTGTGCTCAGCTTGAGACTGAAATCAAATCACATTCACTTCAATCGTCTGAAGAAAAACATCACATTATCTACAGCAACAGCCAACTTTCTGGACAGACCGAATTTATATTAATTGAATGTCTTTACAAATCATGAAGTTGTTTGGTTTCCTCACCTTAATGTGTTTAACTGTTTTCTCAAACTCTCTTACAATATTTGTTTTGTCTTTAACTTTGCCTTGTAAGGACTTTAGTGCTGTACTGAGATTCTCCTGAAATTTAAAAGGAAAATCTATAAGACGTTAGAGATTTTTGTAGTATGTTCATGAATTTGATATCATATATTTGTGTGACAAATATCACAGACGTATGTCTTTATGGCAAAATCCTCAAATTATTCAGAAATAAATCTGTCCTACCTTGTACGATGGAACAACTTCACCGATGGGTCTGAATGTGTGATTGACGTGTTTCTGTGAATCTCTGCACACTAAACACACCGGCTGTTTGTCCTCCAGACAGAAGAGTTTGAGTTTCTCACTGTGTAAACTGCAGAGCTCCTCAGACTCTGATGAATGCCTCTCTTTTCTCTTCTTCAGGAGCGACTCACACAAGTTTTTTAACACAAGATTACATGGAGGATCATCTCTTGAGGATCTTCTCCTGCAGACAGGACACTCCTGAGTTTTTGTGGTTCTCCAGAACTGTTGAAGACACTCTTTACAGAAACTGTGACTACATGACAAAAGAACAGGAGCCTTGAAGATTTCACAGCATACAGGACAAGAAAGTTCTTCCACAGAAAGTGAATCCATTTTCGCTGTTTGAGCTCCAGCAATCTAAACTTTACTTTCACTTTCTGATTAATGGTTTAAAAAAATGAATAACCATGAGAATCATAAAGATCTGCTGTCTGTTCAGAAACAAACTTCTCAAAAATCCACCCTGAAAGTACTTTTCTTCATTCTTCGCTGAACACTGATTCGTTGTTGATCTTGCCAAGAAAATGAGAACAGAGTCAATATGACAGAAAGGAGAAACAAGTCAGTTTCTTCCTGGTAAGTGTTGTAAGAGGGTGGAGTTTCTGATCACCTTTGGGTGTGATTAAAACAGGTCAGATGGCATTATTTCTTCAGATTAAATTTGAACAAAATGCATTCAAAATTAACTTGCATTGACATTCTCTCAAATATAATGCTAGAAAACCTCAGATAAGACAGTAAAGGACAATGAGAAAGCACAAATAATGATAATAAAAAGTCTTAAGACACTTTATTTGTGAGAGTTTTATTTACTGTGCTTTATTGGTGAGTGTCAAATTCACTATGCTAATAAAGTTATTAAAGCAACTGATTGATTTGATCATGCATGCAGTTTGATCTGCATTAGAAGTCTGATTGTTGGGGTCTTTTACAGTTTCTAATTACATAATTACTCAACCAACTAATACAAAGAAGCATCAGCCTGTATACAGTTAAGACTTTTTTGCAAATGGAAATACTCAGAGTGCATGCTAAAACAGAAGACACCATAGATTTTAACTATGCCATGTACTGTATGCATGTAAAAAAACTCCCTGAAAACAGCATAGCAACACCAGCATGGCTAAAAGCTTAAAGTAAAATCTGACATGGTGCTGAAAATAAATGTAAACATATTTAAGTTTATAAGTCTCATATGAAGGTTCTAGTTTGTTAAGGGTGGAGCAATTTAGTGTGGACAGATTTTAACTGCTGTTGTACAGATCCACATTACTGGAGCTCAAATCTCGACTGTCTTTCAGACGTCAGCTTCTCAGACTCTGAATATAAGAACAAAACATAAAGAGAGACACACACAAGACAACAAACGAATGTAAGCTGAAAGTGTGAGAGGAAACAACGGACCATCATCTGAAGATGTATCAGTCAGATCTTTGAGAGAGTTAAAGTCAACATTAATACAAATACAATCTATTTACTGTCTTAATTCATCTTGCTAGTCTGAGTATGATAGATTCATCAATGATGTTATTCTACAGAAATAGATGTTTGTCTTCATACTTTTTCATTAAAATGTAATAACTTAAAACTGTAAGCACTGATTTGTTTACTTATGAAAAAAACAATAAGCCACACAAGGCAGTGCATTAAAGTGATTTTATAATAATTTCCAGTAATTTTACATCTTTTACATTAAAGCTGAGATTGTGTATTAGTTACCTGTCACTCGTCTTGTTCAGTGAGGTGTCATGCTTTCATTCTCTAGAGAATAAAGATAGGCTACAATGAAAATGACAACTAAAATTAAAATGAAAAAGATAAAAAAAAAATGTCTAAAGGACAATCTTCATTCTGAGTTTTCATGTATGTCTGTGGTGATTTGTGTGTCATGACTCTAACGTGTGTGTGAGTAATTTACTAAAACTTACAAACCCTCCACTGACACCCTCAAACAGAGAAATAATGGCTAATAAAATCTTTCTAATTACTACAAATACTAAATGTTTTCTTTTAGGGATTGGGTCAGTCTATAGTCATTATCATAAAGTATTTGCCATTATCACAAGCTGAGATTGACTAATTACACTAAGAGATGAGTGCACTAAGAGTGCAGCACAAAATAAATAATATTATAAAACATTAGAAAGCAAAAACTATTTAACATGGAGTGTTTGTCCTAACCAGCAGCGACATTACATTTTGTCAGTCGCTTAAGGTGTTTTATCATGTAGCCTCTCCCAGCTTGTGACTGGAATTCTGTCCCATTACACCAGATCAGGATTTGCTGTAATAGGGTAATTTTACAAAGTTTAATATGTTTATTTGGTGTTGTGCGTCTCTGGGGGTTTGCGGTTCTGTAGTTTCTTCATCTGCATTTCACTTCTCTTGAGCAACTCATCTCTGAGCCGCGCAAATGAGCCTTTGTAATTCAGTGCTCCGCTGCCATCCTGCACAAACACACACAGACTCAATACACATCCCACACACTCACATTAAAAAAAAGTGACACAATCAAACACACTTTAGTTTGGCCCACTGTATTTACAAAACAGTAGCTTGAGTGTATTGCATTAGAATTAATCTATATAAGCCTTCATCTTATTCTCACAGTATGTTGTGTTTGCTTTATACAACTCAGATCAGCTTTTCTGATACTGAAAGACAAACATGAGCCTCACAAAGCAGCTGTCAGAAACAAGCACAGAAATCTCTCATGCTGCTTGCTTGACCCATCAGATTCTGTAACTCACCTTTAAGGCTTTTCATCATGCGTGATGATTTTTAATAAAGATACTTTTTGAGAATTTAATAGAAATAATGAAAAACTAAAATATTAAAGTTTACCCAAAAATGTACTCACTCTTACTTTGTTCCAAACCTGTATGATTTTTTTCTTCTGTTGAGCACAAAAAACTATGTTTTGAAGAATGCCGGCAACCAAACAGTTTCTGGTTCCCACTGCCTTCCATAGCATTTTCGTTTTCTATACTATGGAGGTGGTGTCCATTAACTGTTTGGTTACCAACATTCTTCAAAATATCTTCTTTTGTGCTCAACAGAAGAAGGAAATTCATACAGGTTTGGGAGAACTTTTGAGTGAGTAAATGATGATAACATTCATTTTTGGGTTAGGTATCTCTTTAAAAGGTGTAAAACTATTTTTTTTTGTTTATTTAAATTATAGGCCTAATTTCTCATTTCTTTTTTGGGGGATTTTGGGATGAAAACTGATCTTGGCATATTCTTGTGAGATTCTGACAAGTGAAAACACACAAATGATGATTAAAACACAAACAAAAAAACTAGGGCTGTCAACGTTAATGCGTTAACGCATGCGATTAATTTTACAATCCTTAACGCAGTAAAATAATTTAACGCAAAATTACTGAAGCACAATTTCTATTCTAACCCTTTAACCCAATTTTGCTTCTCTGCTTGCGATCAGATCATTTTAAGCCGCTAAACTCTGGGAAAGTTTTCAGTCCAATGATCCAGTAAGCGAATGCATTCAAACAATCCGTCCAAAACAGCGCTAATATAAAGGAAACCAGGCTGATTACATCAGAGATTGCAGAGAGAACAGAGAATCGCTTTGCGTTTTCAGTGAATTATTAATTCCAGTGTGTTTC